TAATTTTATAAGTTTTAAACGTATTTATGAAACCCATCAATCAGGAAGGTGAACATATTCATCACTCCAGGTGTTTCCTTGTGCCCCTTTGTACTCCCGCTTTCCCTCCCTGTCTTGTCTCCTCCTCTTCTTGCCTCAGGCAACCACTGATCTGCTTTCTGTCACTATAGGTTATTTTGAATTTTCTAAAATTTTCTATAAATGGAATTATGCAGCATGCTTTTTGTCTAGCTTCTTTTACTTAGCATATTTATTTTGAGATTCATCCATATTGTTATATGTATCAATAGTTCATTCCTTTTTATTGCTGGTTAATACTCCATTATATGGGCATACCACCATTTATTTCTCCATAATACTCCATGATAATGGGCATGTGGTTGTTTCCAGTTTTTGACTATTATAAAGAAAGTTTCTATGAACATTCTTATACAATTTTTTTAAATGGACTTGTGTTTTTTTTTATTTTGAGTGAGTATCTTGGAATATGGTAGGAATATGTTTAACTTAAAAAAAACTGCCAAACAGTCTTCCAAAATGGTAGAACCATGAAAGTTTCAGTTGTTCTGCATCCTTGCCAACAGTTGCATGGCCATCTTTTTCATTTTCGCAATTCCATTACACACGCGCGTGCGCACGCGCGCACACACACACACACACACACACACCAGAGAGAGTGCAAAAAAAATGTATACATGTTTTAAGAAAGGAAAAAAACATATTAAAATTGTAATACTCAATATATACCTATAAAAGAGGAATACAGGTCATGTGTATAAATTTTTTTGGCACCCCCAGTATATATATATATTGGTACCTCATTGTGGGTTTAAATTTGCATTTCCCTAATGACTAATTATGTTGAGGATCTTTTCATGTGCTTACTTTCCATCTGTCTATTTTTTTTGTTGAAATGTCTGTTCAAATCTTTAGCTCATTTTAAAAATTGGTTGTTTGCTTTGTTATTGTTGAGTTTTTGGAGTTTGTTGTATATTCCAGACACAAGTCTTTTATCAGATACATGTTCTACAAAGAGTTCCTCTAAGCATATGGCTTGTTGTTTCATTCTTTTAGCAGTGTCTTTCATAGAGAAAAAATTTTAATTTTTTTAATCTTTATTAAATTTATTGAGGTGACATTGGCTAGTAAAATTATATAGGTTTCAAGTGTACATTTCTATAATACATCATCTATATATTGCATTGTGTGTTCACCACCCAGAGTCAGTTTTCCCTCCATCACCATATATTTGGCCCCCTTTAACCTCTTTTTCTACCTCCACTACCCCCTCACCCTCTGGTAACTACTAAACTGTTATCTGTGTCTATGAGTTTTTGTTTGTTTGTCTTGTTTGTTGCTTTCAGTTTTATATTACATATATGAGTGAAGCCATATAATTCTTGACTTTTTCTGTCTGATTTATTTTGCTTAGCATGATAATTTCAGGATCCATCCATGTTGTCACAAATGGCAGTATTTTACCTTTTCATATGGCCGAGTAATATTCCATTGTATAGATGAACCACATCTTCTTTATCTAATCATGTATTAAAGGACATTCCTTTGTTAATTTATTCCTAAATATTTTATTTTTTGATGCAATTGTAAAGGGGATTGTTTTCTTAATTTCTCTGAAAAGAGTATATCTTTGTCTTGTTCTGGATCTTAAGGAAAACTCTTTTAGCTTTTCACCATTGCATATGATGTTAACTGTGCGTTTGTCATATGTGGCCTTTATTATGTTAAGGTATGTTACCTCTACTCCCATATTGCTAAGAGTCTTTATCATAAATGGATGTTGGATTTTGTCAAATGCATTTCCTGCATCTATTGACATAATCATATGACTTTTATCCTTTGTTTTGTTTATGTAGTGTATTACATTAAGTAATTTGTGGATATTGAACCAACCTTGCATCCCAGAAATAAATCCCAGTTGATCATACTATATGATCTCTGTAATGTATTGCTGAATTCAGTTTGCTAATATTTTGCTGTGGATTTTTGCATGTATTCGTTAGGGATACTGGCCTATAATTTTCTCTTTTTCTTCTTCTTCTTTTTTTTTTTTTGTAATGTCTTTGTCTGGTTTTGGAATCAGGGTAATGCTGGCCTCGTAAAGTGAGTTTGGGAGCCTTCTCTCCTCTTGTATTTTTTGGAATAGTTTGAGAAGGATAAGTGTTCATTCTTCTTTGAATGTTTGGTAAAATTCACTCGTGAGCCCATCTGGTCCAGGGCTTTGTTGTTGGGAGTTTTTCACTACTGATTCATGTTTGTTAGTAGTAATCAGTCTTTTCGCATTTTTCTGTTTCTTCTTAATTCAGTTTTGGAAGATCATATGTTTCTAGGAAATTATCCATGTCTTCTAAGCTGTCCAATTTGTTGACATATAATTGTTCATAGTATTTTCTTATAATCCTTTGTATTTCTGTGGTGTCATTTGTCACTTCCATTTCATACCTGATTTTATTTGGGTTCTCTTTTTTTCTTGATGAGTCTGGCTAGAGGTTTATCAATTGTGTTTATCTTTTCAAAGAACCAGCTCATCATTTCATTGATTTTTTTATTACCTTTTTAGACTCTATTTCATTTATAACTGCTCTGGTATTTATTATTTCCTTCTACTAACATTGGGAGTTGTTTATTCTTCTTTTACTAGTTCCTTTAAGTGTAAAGATTTCTTTGTTTATTTGAGATTTTCTTGTTTCTTGATGTAGGCTTCTTTTGCTATGAATTTCCCTCTTAGAATTGGTTTGGCTGTGTCCCGTAAATTTGGGGGCATTGTGTTTTCATTTTCATTTGTCTCAAGATATCTTTTGATTTCTTATCTCATTGTTAACCTACTCATTTTTTAGTAGCATGTTATTTAGCCTACATGTCTTTGTGTGTTTTTCAGTTTTCTTCTTGTAATTGATCTCTATTTTCATACCAGGGTGATTGGAGAAGATACTTGATATGATTTCAGTCTTCTTAAATTTATTGAGATTTGTTTTGTGGCCTAATACATGTTGTATCTTGGAAAATGTTCCATCTGTGCTTGAAAAGAATGTCTATTTTGCTGCCTTGGGGTGAAATATTCTAAAAATATCAGTTAAATGATCTGGTCTAATGTGTCATTTAAGATCAATGTTTTCTTGTTGATTTTCTGTCTAGGTGATCTATCCCTTAATGCCAATAGGGGATAGTTAAAGTTCCCTACTATGACTGTACTACTGTTAATCTCTCCCTTTATGTCGGTCAGTATTTACTTCATATATTCAGGTGCTCCTACATTGGATGCATAGAAGTTCAAAAGAGTTATATCCTTGTTGGACTGATCCCTTTATCATTATTGCATGCCCTTCTTGTCTCTTATTACAGCCCTTGTTTTAAAGTCTATTTTATCTAAGTAATGCTAAGAATTTCAATATTGTAACAGTCAGTTCAGTTATTCCGATATGTCCTGGCTGACTATCAGTCTAGATCAAAATGCCAAAGAGAATAATTTTAGAGAAACAAACATAGTGAATTCACATGATATTTTGTTTCTATTTAGATTATTGCCCTTTACTTTAAAATATGAAAATATAAAGCCAAAGTCCAGTAAATTGTAACTTGAGCTATATCAGAGTGGCTTTCAAATAAATACTTGATATATACAAAAGTACATCTTGAAGGCATTTTGGAAAGACGAGAGTGTTAAGAGAAGACAGAGGCAAACAATTCTAGATATGTTGAATTTGTGATAAGTTAGTTTTACTACGTTCTTCAGGTTATCATTGGAAAGGAAAATTAACCTAAAGAGAAAATGTATTTCTTAAATTGGGTGGTGGATTTATGGATTTTTATTAACAATGTTATATACATTGTTTTGAATGAATCAAATATTTCATACTAAAAGGGGGAAAGACTATAAAGTTTGTAAAAGTAAATATGACAACAGTATATTTAAAAGAGCCTTTTATATAGCAAGTGTCTTGTTATAATATTTTAAAACTTATGTTCTCTTGTAGTTGAAAAACCGAGGTCGCTGGGTCCATTGGACTGAATTAATTAAAAGTACTAATTTAGGAAATAAACGTGTCAAGATTCAAGATATCATAGTCCCTACAATGGACACAATTAGATACACATTTCTAATGAATTTGAGTATTACCTATGCAAAGTAAGAAACTCTTATAAACATACACTTTAAATATAACAGTGACATTCTAATAGAATATGTGAAGTAAACTTTGAAGTCATTCATTTTCAGATAACTGAGACCCTGGGGGACTAATTGACATGTCCACAGTGACATCTGTTACTAGTCACAAACCTAGAATCCAGGTTTCCTACTGCCCATTTCAAATTCTTTGCCATCATAGTTTGTTGCCTCATAAGCTACCTTATATTTCTTTTATTTGTAACATTAGACTAAAAGTCAGTTACAATGTTATTGTTAAGTAGGTATGCATTCTACTCGAAGGTTCACTATACTCCTGAGGTATCAGACTAACCATGATCCACATTCTCCCATTATATTTAGCATTTTTCAAATATGTCCTATGCTAGTTAACTTAAGATGAACATGAAAAACTCAGACTTAAATCAGAAGAGTACATCAAAAAAGAGTACATGAAACTGATCAGATGTTTAGCACGTACCATAGGCATATCCATATCTACTTTTTTAATAGCATTTTTGTCATTATTTTTCATTTAAAACATTAGCATATTTCATCATTAATACTATTTTAAGTAGACAAGCTCACATAATATGCATAAATGTCATGATTTGTTGTTGATAAAGAACTTGTTTCTTAGTGAATTTTGTGACAATTTTATCTTGTTAAAAAAACATGAAAATAGCTTATAGTTTATGAGGTAACATTATTTTATTCCTGTTTCGAGTTTAGTGGCTAATATTAAAAACTTTCTTAGGCAAGGAAGGCACTTGCCAGTTCTGAGGGATTTCTAGTATGGGAGTTCTTTTGAGCCATGAACCATTTGTCAGAATAATGCTTTTAAATAAATAATATAAATATAATATTACAAAGGAAACCACATATTGAAATACATTTATTAAAATATTGAACAAATATGGGCAATAGTAGTAATATATGTGCTTCTTTATTAACACATTAAATTATAAGATCTAGCAATAAGTCTGATGACTGTCATAATTTTGAAGAAGTAATAACAAGGGATATTTTTGAGATTTTATTAACAATTGTAATCTTTAGTATAATATCTGTGATTTCTATTGGTGACAAAGACACAGGTACTATTAAAAAATTACTCCATTTTAGTTAAGGATAGTGAAAGTAAAGACATAACCTTTTTGCCATCCAAGTTCACATATTCTCTGAATACTGTCTAAGAATTTCTTCAGATGGTCCATGGACCCCAAGTTAAGAACGGTATTTCATTTACTAAAATTATTTTAATAAGCAGTTTTTCATAAGATGAGTGTTTCTCAGACTGGGACACACAGATAAATCCTCAGGTGTTGCTGTAGTTCTAAAAGAACCTTAATTTTATGTTTATGCTTCAGTGATAATTTAAAAAATGAATGTTAGCATAATTTGGGTTACTTAGATGACCCATTCTAACTGAATGCTGTTGTTCAGTTTTAGTGCCAGCCTTTGTGTTTGTCCTTATGTACTGTATGGTGCCAAGTTATCACTCAAAGTGACAGTATTTAATTTTTAATCAGTGTTTCAAACTGGTATTTCCCAGAGTTCTGTGATCATAAACTACTAGGATTTTTTTTTCCTTTAAAATTATTTACGATCATTCAAGAATGAGAAACCTTGCTTGAATCTTCACTGAATGGAAAATTTCTTAGAGTTTGCTTTTAGACAAGTATTTTCAGTTAGTAACTCTGACTTGGTTCTAAAATGCTATTAACAGTATACATAACTGTTAGCTTTAGAATTCACTGTCATTTAGTTTCTCACAGAAACTTTATGCTATTGAGGTAACTGAAACAGCCTAAACCTATCTTACTGTCATCATCAGTCTATTTGACACTGCACGCCCTTGCCTGTACATCTAACTAAAAAATACAAACATTTCACTTTTTTGAGGAGACAAACTTTGGCTTTCTTTTCTGAAAAGTTAAGCATGTTATTACTTGTTCTATGTGTGTTTTTTTATATAGCAATGTTACATCTGTTCAAATAATAGTTTGCTATTATTATGCCAGTTGTTACTTTACAGTCTTTCATGAAATAACAATGATAGACTACAATGTGAATTTTTAGATGAAGATGATATGATTATTATTTACATTTTCAACCAACTCCAACTTCTTTTAGTGGAAATGTATTGACTTTTTTCCCTTTCAAATGATATGTTCATTGTTTTCATAAAGGCCACTGCTTTTTGTGGGTCCAACGGGTACAGGAAAATCAGTGTACGTGAAGGATAAGCTAATGAATCACTTGGAAAAGGACAAGTACTTTCCTTTTTATGTTAATTTCTCTGCACGCACCAGTGCCAACCAGGTTCAGGTTAGTTTAAAGCCAGACACATGGGTCTATAATTATTATTTTTTATTTATTTGGTTAGTGTTCAAAATTGTGTATTAAATGAACAGCTGTGTAAAATATTCTATGAATTTAAATAAAACTTCAGAACTCTTATTTTTGGCATTACAAGTAAGTTTCAAAAGTCAGGTTTTGAGGACAAATGTTTGAGAGAATATTTTTGCATTAATACTGGATTAGAGCTTTGTAAATTTTTTTTAAGCCCAAGAAGAAGCAATGATTGATTTCATAACTGGAAAAGGGGTTATAAGAGAGGGGAGTGAGGGGAGAGGGAGAGAGAGAGTGAGAGAGAGAGAGAGAGAGAGAGAGAGAGAGAGAGAGAGAGAGAGAGAACTTTCTAGACTCTCCTAGATGATCCTTAGTGGCATCTGCTGCTTACTAAAGCTGTTTCATCACTGAAAGATCTTTTAAACCATCGACTATTGTATGAACTTCTGTGACAAGAGCCATATACCTGTGCATCCCACCTGTTACCTCCCAAAATACCATGATTAAAGAAGTACTACATAAGATCTTTTCTACTCACCATTTTTTCATCCATTCCTAAATTTATGTCTGCCCATTTCCCCCTGACCTATCAGGCTCATTTCTGTTCTTTTAAGCCGATAGAATTCCCTTAATCTCAAAATTTTACAAATTTAGATTAGTGCTTTTAGATATTGGGTAAGTAAAGTTAATAGATATGTTGGAGTATCCAATGAGGAAAATAGTGTGTGTGTGTGTGTGTGTGTGTGTGTGTGTGTGTGTACACACACATGCATGTGTGTACAATATAAATAAATATGTATGTATGAGATGTGATAAAAAATCGATGAATGTTTAAATTAAAAAAAAATTATTACAGTAAAAGACATATTACCATTAATCCCCCTCAAAATACTCCCCCTCAGTTCTCACACACTTATCCCATCCCATCGTTCTTGCCACTTTCTGAAGCAGTTTTGAAAGTCCTCTTTGGTGGATGTCTTCAGTAGCTCTGTCACGGCTACCTCAATGTCCTGAATTGATTCAAAATGTTTATCTTTCATGGTCATTTTAACTTTGGGGGAGAGCCAGAAGTCCCAAGGTGCCAGATCCGGTGAATAAGGTGGATGAGGACACACCATAATGTTTTTATTTGACAGAAGTTGCCGTACCAGAAGCGATGTGTGACATGGAGCGCTGTCATGATGGAAGATGAAGACACGAAAGAGGATTTCCAGAACTGCTTCAGAAAGTGGCAAGAACAATGGGATAAGTGTGTTCAAAGCCAGGGGGAGTATTTTGAGGGGGATTAATGGCAGTGTGCCTTTTACTGTACAGTAAGTCCCTGACTTATGAACATTTGAGTTGCGAACTTTCACAGATAGGAACGGACCTCGCATTATGAACTTTCGTAGATGCGGAAGTAGCTCACATGTCTGCCGGACATTGTCACAGTTGTGCTTCTGTGTGCTTACTGTACAGTGTGATAGCGTACAATACTGCAGTGCCCAGTCAGAGCCCAGGATGTCCGGAAGCAAGAGGAAAAGCAGGGGTGATGTGGAGGGGATGGCTAGAAAGCGCAAAGCAATAACCATGGAAACAAAAGTGAAAATAATTGAGAAATTGGACCAAGACGAAAAGATGGTAGACGTCGCTCGTTCTTATAACATGAATCATTCAACTGTTGGCTTTACATTGTATATTTGTGTCAAAGGTGTATAAGACTTACTTTGTTGGGCTTACAAACGAATCCGACTTAGGAGCATTCTCCTGGAACGGAACTCGTTCGTAAGTCGTGGACTTACTGTAATAAATTTTTTTATTTAAACATTCATTGTACCTTTTGATCACAGCTCGAATGTAACAATTCTTAGCACATAGAAGCGTTTCAATAAATGCTCTTTGAATAATGTTAAATTTGAAATTTGATATCACCCTAAAAATGGATAAATATAAATAAATAAACATGCACATAATGCTGCTTGGCATTATTTTCTTACATAATTAGACTTAAATTCCTAATTTTTTTCTGGTATTAAGTGTGGCTACTAAACTTTCTTTTTTATATTTTAGAACATTATTATGGCTAGATTGGATAAACGACGCAAAGGAGTTTTTGGACCACCTATGGGAAAGAAGTGTATAATTTTTATTGATGACATGAATATGCCTGCATTGGAGAAATATGGAGCTCAACCTCCTATTGAATTATTACGACAATTTTTTGACTGTGGGAATTGGTAACTATGTAATTGAAGTCTTAATTAGCCATGCTGAAGTCATTTTTTGTTCTCTTTTTCTATTTTAGTTTCTCACATCAAAATATACATTTTTTTCAAGTTATTTGTGAAAGAAAATGATTTTCCTAAACAGAAATTTTTGGAAGACTTTTCTATACCATTTTTATACCATTCTTTCCTCTGAATGTGTGCATTAGATAACTAGAATTAATAATCCAGTATTGGAGATATTTATATTCAACAATGTAGTAATTTTTTCCTTTTAAACTATTATTTTTCAATTATTGAAAATAATTTGCAGATTATATCTTTCAAAGTACCATTCTTCCAGGGCTGTGAATTTATGGGTAGTCTCCAACTTTAGTAACCATAATAAGCACCCTGTGTTTCTTCCATTCTCTGTATTTTCTGTGACTGTTTGGGACTACCATATCTTTGAGATAGCTTGGTAGTTTTAACAGCAATTTCATAGATAACTCTGTGCTCCTTTCACCCCCATTTTATGATAATATTATTAGTTTCCAACATGTAAGACATTGTATCTTTTAGTTAGGGTTAATAATTCTTCATTTCCTTCTCTTAAATATACTTTCCTAATCTCCAATATATCATTATTTTTATCTCAAGTCAAGAGTAGACTAATTTTGAATCTAATTCATATTTTGGAAATACATTTTTGTTATTTCTGTAGGCCCTTGGAATCCTGCCTCCAGGAAATAATCGCTGTTAATCGTATATTCCCTATTCTCCAAGTTTTTTTTCTTTATACATATATTTTTTAAAAACAGACTCATGTTACACATACTGTTTTGCAACTTGTTCGCACTTAAGTATTTATCTTGAGCACCTATCCATGTTATTTGTCTCATTCATTTTAATATTTTTAATACATTTAAAATTGTCTTTTAATACTATTTAGTTGTGTGGATCTTGCCATACTTTACTTAGGCAGTCCCCTATTGACAGCTATTATGGTTGTTGCCAAAACCCAAATCATGTTTTTTTATTTTCTAGTGTGCTCCTAATGAAGCTACTGGTTATATAGATTTCTCTCACTACTCTTCTCTGCTTTTTGCAAGAACTTCAATATTAAAGGACTTAATGGCCTATTGGAAATAGTAGCCTTTCAAAGGAGTGGCTCCAACTAAATGGAGCTATTTAGATACCCCTTTCTGATTAAAACTTCTTTGGAGCTTTGTTATTTCCTAATGGGTTCCTTTTTATATAAAAAAGTGTGTAGTTACTATTCAGACATCCTTGTGTTCTCTGAAGATAAGATTTGAGATGAGAAAAAGAATCAGGACTTTGCTGTAAGTAGGACAACTATGTAATTTATTGTTCAAACTGGGGCAATTCTGAGAGTAAAAGGGAAGTGTTATTAATTACTGTAGGACAAGCACAAACCAGAATTGACCTAGGCAAAATGGGACATATGGTTATCCTACCTATAACCAGCTACAAACAAGATTGATCTCTCCTCCGTGCTCTGGATTTGGAGTAAGAAGAGGAGGAGCAAGAGAGTCAAATTGGGAAAAAGAGTAGGAGGAAAGAAAGGGAAGGGCAAGGGGAAGAGACATTGTAGATACCCAGAATCTGGGCAACAGAATCAGTGTCAGTGAATGGAGAAATAGAGTGCTGCTTAAAAAAAAAGTTCTCTCCTACTCCTAGCATTATCGAAAGTTCTTCCTTTTAGAGAAGCTAAAATCAGATTAAGTTTCTAGGGAGATCTTCATTTCATTACATCTTATTGGCTTTATCACTGATAGTTTTGAATTTTTATGTGCTTTCAAGGTATGACCTTAAGGATACAAGTAAAATCACATTGGTTGACGTAGAGCTGATTGCTGCCATGGGCCCTCCAGGTGGTGGAAGAAATCCAGTTACTCCCCGTTTTATTCGACATTTCAGCACCTGCACTATTAATACTTTTAGTGATGAAACAATGGTCCGAATCTTCTCATCAATTGTAGCATTCTACCTTAGGACTCATGAATTTCATCCGGAGTACTTTTTAATTGGGAACCAAATTGTCAGTGGGACTATGGAGGTGAGCAAATACTGCAGTACAAAATGTTTAGCATAGAGTATATCCCTCATTTGGTCTTTACTTTTTTTTTTTTTTAACATTTTTTTCCCTTAGACAACTACTTTAGTCTTGAGTGTCAGAGAAACTGTTAAGAAGGCTTGAGAACAGGAAGATTATAGGCTTTGAAATTAGGTAATCTAACTGGGTTTGAGCCTTGAGTATTTCCTAGCTGTATGGCCTTGAGCAAGTAATTTGATCTCCCAGAAACTCATGTTTTTAATCACTACAATGGGAGATAATACCTATTTCACAAGATTGTTACAAGGAAATCATCCAGAACCAGTATGTGCCACATTGTAGGTATTTCCCTAATTACCAGATTCCTGCTCTGGTATTTATTTTTCTTTTTTCTTCTCTTCCCTCCCTTTTTTCATGTTTGTCTTAAAAATAAAAGACATTTAAGCAGCTTAGAAATATATTATTTTTAGCCAGATCACATAATTTAGGAGTAGCAGTAGTAGGCCAAAGAGCAGCTCTTAACTTACTCAACATTCAGCATGTCTTATCTGCCTCTGCTCAGAGGCCAGGGCCAGCCTCATCACTAATGGTAAAGGGGAAAAAATGTATTTAAGGTAAGTCAGTGATAATCTCATTGAACTAAGCTTTTGGGAGCCTTGATAAAGTGGGGTTCACTTTGGGATCACTGCAACAAAAGCAAAAAGCTCCCTAGAATCATTCCATTAGTTTCCACAAGAGCACTGTATCTTTCTAAAGTTCTTCTCCTCTTGTTCTGGTGGAAAATTTATGCTGATAAAGTAGAGAAACTATGAGCAAAGGGATACTGTACTTATTCTGATAAAGAAAAGTGCTTCTATTTATAAAATATAATGTTTGTATTTCAGGCATCTCCTGGAAAGCGGGGGGGAGTTGGTCAGGCAGACAGGGATACAGAAGGGATTCTTCTCCTCCCCCCCCACCCCCCACCCCAGTCTTGTCTTTGAAGCAGTATAGATCTACCATGTGTGGAGAGTAGCGGAGGGAGATGAATCATAGAACACATATAAATAAAAAATAATTTTAGTTATTTTTTGGGCTAGATTATAAAAGATTTAATTTATCTTTCTTAAAGAAAATATTAAACTTTTGGTGAATTCAGCATGTAGTAAAATATACTCTGTTTCCATATTATAGCCAGTTAAGTTGGAGGGAAGAAGTGGGAGAGAGAAAATAAGAAAGAGAAGAAAAGGGAGAGAACACACTGGTTTGTTTTGAAGTCATTTGTAGTCTAAAGGAAGTTGTTTCATCCTTCTCTTCATATGGAATGCTTCAGAATGAGTTATCTGAATTCACTTTCTATTAAAGTGTTTACTTAATCCCAGGCCATTCACCTTTAAATGGGACAACCATAATAACTGGGAAATAAAAGTATTGTTGCTTCTTAGGCTTGGATGGAATCAGATAACAGTAAGTTCTCTCAACGTTATAATACCTGGTTGAGTGCTATAAACTAAAGTAAATACATTATGCTATGCTAGGTTTAAGTGCTATACAATTTTCCAAGCCGATGTAATCTGATAGGATAAATAAAATATTTTATGTAACACACAATCTGTTACATGGCTTTGCTGATTATAAGCATTTTATTTCTGCTTCCCCCCCCCCACCCATTTTCAGATCTATAAACGATCCATGGAAAATCTTTTGCCTACTCCCGCAAAATCTCACTACACTTTCAACTTGCGTGATTTTTCACGTGTCGTCCAGGGCTGCTTACTCATTGAAAGAGATGCTGTGGAGAGCAAGCACACTATGACCCGGCTGTTTGTGCATGAGGTTCTTCGAGTGTTTTATGATCGCCTCACTAATGATGAGGATAGATCCTGGCTGTTCAGTTTAACCAAAATTGTTATAAAGGACCATTTTAAAGAATCATTTGATAGTATCTTTTCACATTTGAGGAAAGAGAATGCACCAGTGAGTATATTTAGTGATTAAAAACATATTAAGTTAAAACAGTACAATAGCATGAATTATTACAGCCATGCTATTTTTGCATTTAAAAAATACTGCTTCCTCATGATCATATTCCTTTACCTTTCCTCATAGATAGGTATTTATTTTGAGAAGATTTGTCTTCAGAGGTATTATGTTTGCGACATAGAAGTTATTTAAAGAATAAAACTTTATATGATAGGGGCTAAATGATATAATAGATGTAAAGTGCTAACTATGGTGACCATCCCTTACTAACTACTCAATAAATGCAAGTCACTCAGAATGACTTCGCCAAGGGAGTAGGGGTGTACTTTTTTTTTTAAATAGAAAAGGGCTGTTTTCTTTTTATTTCCTAAAAATATAATATAATTTCAGGTATTAATTTTATAACTACATATTTACAACCCTAATATTTTAAAGAATTATCTAATTGATAATCATCCTATAACATGGATAAAACAAAACTTTGTATAACATTTAAAAATTTTTATTTTAGAAAACATTTTTAAGTCTTATGATTTGTTGATTTTTGTCCTATAGGTAACTGAAGAGGACTTAAGAAACCTCATGTTTGGTGACTATATGAATCCTGACCTTGAAGGAGATGAGAGAGTTTATATTGAAATTACAAATATTCATCATTTTAGCGACATTGTAGAACAATGTTTAGATGAGTATAATCAAACTCACAAAACAAGATTGAATCTTGTCATTTTCAGGTACCTACAGTTGGTATTAATGGTTGAAATTGCTATTTGTAAAAATTTAGTGTGAAATATTTTGAATGTACAAAAAGGTATAAGGAAAAATTTGGTGAATAACCTTGTACCCATAACCGAGCTTAAGACATAAAATATTAGCAGTTTATTTGAAGTCCCTTGTGTAGCACACCTTCCCTCACTGCATCCGCATCATACCCTGCAGGAGTCAAAGGAAACTCATGTGTTTATCTAGACTTTTACTACACATGTGTGTTCTTAAACATATATGCACTGTCTTATTTTGCATGTTTAAAACTCATATAAATGGTGTTTTACAATATGTATTCTTTTGCAAGTTGTTTTATTTTGTATTGTTTGTGAGATTTACAAAAAAATGAATTTTTACTACTGCACTGTATTCCACTGTATAAAACAATGTAGTCATTCTTCTGAGATAGACTTTTTAGGTGTCTTTTAATTTTTGCAATCATAAAAAAGGTTTGAACACTCATGTCTCCTTGGGCACATGTGTAAGAATTTCTCTAGGCTATATTCCTAGAAGTGGAATTATTGTGTCATGGTATGTAAGCATCTTCTACTTTACTAAGCTTTGCCAAAGTATCTTTAAAAATGATTTTTATTTTTAAGAGCTTCCATTGTTTCTTACCCTTAGGATTAGGATTGCTAAACTTGGTAAGTTTTGCCCATCTAGGGAGAGTGGAATGGTATTCATCGTGAATCTAACTTTAATTTCTCTAATCACTAGTGAGGCTGTCTTTTCTTAATTTGTTATTTTGTGAATAACTGATTTCCTATTTCTCACATAGAAATCTTTATATTAAAAAAATTGACTGAGTGGCTCAGTTGGTTAAGAGCTCGCTCAAGAGTTTGAGCTCTGAGCAACAGTGGTTCGAGTCAGCCCGAGCTGAGCAGCCGTGAGCTGCCAACAGGTGGCGGGATGGCTCAGCTAAAAAAAAAAAAAAAATTTGAAGAAATGTTTTCAATGAAAGTAAAAATATACTTCCAATATAAGAAGTTATAATTTCATTTTATTTCTGTAATTTGTGTGTTACATTTCCTGAATTTGTACTTTAAACAGTTTTCCTTTGCATCAAACAATCCGATTTTAACTGCTTTTGAAAAATCACACATTTTGATGATTACGTCTTTAAAATTGTGATAGTACGTGTGGGACAGCAAAGTCCATCCTTCTAGAAAACTAAAAAAATAGTTACATGTAAATATACATTTACATTTATATTTTCAAGTATAATCATGTTGATATTTTGTAGGTATGTACTGGAACATTTATCACGAATATGCCGAATTCTAAAGCAGTCTGGTGGAAATGCTTTGCTTGTTGGACTTGGAGGAAGTGGTCGTCAATCTTTAACTCGTCTGGCTACATCCATGGCAAAAATGCAGATTTTCCAACCAGAAATTTCTAAAAACTATGGTATGAATGAGTGGAGAGAGGATCTAAAGGTAAAATTATGAACAAATATAGTGTCAAAAATAATATCAGTGCATTCTTTTACCTGTGAAGAGAAAAGAGCCAATTTGTATAGCTATGTGCTAAGTGCTTTACATACATGATCTCATTCTATAAGTAGAACATTTCAATACAGCAGGTATGGTTGTCTCTGTATTTTACTGGTGAGGAAACCGAAGTTGAGCTTCGCTTCTTTGGAGCTGTGTTTTTGTAACCAATAGAATAGTGGAGGGCATACTTGGGGCTTTCATCCTCATGTGTGTACAACTCTGCAGGCCCCAGAAGAGAGATGGCCCAAAGTGAAAAAAAAAAAAAGCAAAGGAGCTATTGCTGGATGTTTTTCACTTTCATTTTCACAGATCCTCACATACTAAATTTCTACATGCTAAAAGTTAACATAAAGAAAAGGTAGCATTTGATATCTTTTTTAATGAAAGTGATTACAACTATAAACTTCCTTCTTAGCACTGCTTTAGCTCCATCCCTATAAATGTTGATATGTTGAGCTTTCATTTTCATTTGTTTCAAGAAATTTTCTTATTTCACTTATGATTTCTCCTTTGACCTATTGGTTATTTAAGAGTTTGTTGTTAAATTACCATGTATTTGTGGATTTTTCAATGTTCCTTCTGCTATTTACTTCTAGTTTCATTCCATTGTGATCAGAAAAGATGCTCGATATGATTTAAATCTTCTTAAATTTGTTAAGGCTTTTGTGGCCTAGCATGTGATCTATCTTAGAGAATATTCTGTGTGTGCACTTAAGAATATGTATTTTGCTGTTGTTGGGTGAAGTTTTATGTATATTTCTATTAGGTCTAATTGGTGTATAGTGTTATTCAAATCCTCTATTTCCTTACTGCTCTTCTGTCTGGTTGTTCTATCCCTTATTGAAAGTCAGGGTATTGAAGTCTCCTACTATTATGTACCTATTTCTACCATCAATTTTGTCAATGTTTGTTTCATATATTTAGGAGCTCTGCTGTTTGGTGAATAAATATTTATAATTGTTACTACTTTCTGATGAATTGATTCTTTTGTCATTATATAATGTTTCTTTATATAATGTCCCTTATAAGAGTTTTCTACTTACAGTCTATTTTGTCTGGTATTAGTACAGCCACTCCTCTTTTTTTGGTTACCATTTGCATGGAACATCTTTCCCATCCTTTCATTTTCAGCCTATGTGTGTCCTTAGGTCTAAAGTAAGTCTCTTAAAGGCAGTGTGTCTTTGGATCCTGTATTTTTATTCACTCAGCCAATATATGTCTTTTGGGGAGGTTATTCATTTACATTTAAAGTAATCTTCCTGAAATATTTAATGATTTGGGGAAGTATCATCTCAAGGGAAAATACAATATTTAAATCATATAACAAGAATTTGTTAAAAGTTTTTCCCTTGGGAAAGGGTTTGGAAAATGAAGAATACGGGAGAGAGATTTAATTTTTATTTTATATATTTTATAATATTGTGAGTTTTTTTTACTTTGTACAGGATTATGTTTATGATTTTAAAAATTGTATAAAAAGAACTCAAAAAATAAAATTTTATTATAAAAAACAAAAAGAAACAAAAAATAAAGTAATTGCTGATAGAGAAGGATATATTATTGGCATTTTGTTACTTGTTTTTTGTATGTTTTGTAGCTTTTATTGTCCCTCATTTTCTCTCATAATGCCTTCTTTTGTGTTTTGTTGATTATTGATAGTGACATGCTTTGATTCCCTTCTCATTTTCTTTTGTGTATATTCTATAGATATTTTCTTTGTGGTTACTATTGTGATTACATAAGACATCTTAAAGTTATGACAACCTATTTTAAACTAACAACTTCAATTTCATACAAAAACTCTATTCTTTTACATTTGCCCCTCCCAACTTTATGCTATAAATATCACAAATGACATCTTTATAGATTGTGCAGCCATTAACATAGATTTGTGGGGGTTTTGTATGTTTGTCTTTCAGATTCTATACAGGAATTGAAAGTGGACTTATACAACACAACTGCAATAATATAGATTTCTGTATTTGTGTATATACAGATGCTCCTCAACTTATGATGGGGTTATGTTCCAATAAACCTATCGTAAGTTGAAAATATTGTAAGTCAAAATGCATCTAACACACCTAACCTACTGAACATCATAGCTTAGCCTAGCCTAACTTCAATGTGTTCAGAACACAATATTCAAAAAACGCTGGCACCACAGTACATTGCAGAGTATTGGTCATTTACCCTCATGATCTTATGCTTTACTGGGAACAGCTTGCTGCCTCTGGCCCGCATCATGAGAGAGTATTGTATCACTAGCCTGGGGAAAGATCAAAATTTGAAATTCGAAGTACAGGTTCTATTGAATGTGTATCACTTTTGCACCATTGTAAAATTGAAAAATTATAAGTCAAACCTTCATAAGTCAGGGACCATCTGTATTTACCTTTAACAGAGAACTTTATACTTTCGTATGGCTTTGTGTTGTTGTGTAGCATTTTCCCATTTCATCCTAAAGGAGTCCCTTTAGCATTTATTGAAAGGCAGATCTAGTGGTGATAAATTCCTTCAGCTTTTATCTATCTGAGAAAATCTTCATTTCTTTATTTTTGAAGGACAGTTTTACAAATACAGTCTTCTTGGTTGACAGTTTTTTTCTTTACACACTTTGAATATATCATCTGTAGTGGCAGGGGGAGAAGGAGGAGCACATGCTAGGGGGAACTAATTGATTTATTTAATAATATTTAATTAATTTATTTAGCAACATCCAATCAATTGAGTTAGCAGTATACAATAGCAAAAGACAAAGGCAATCAAGGTAATTAAAAGAATGCAATCAAAAGAATGCAATGATAGAAGGTAAAAGGCAGTTAAGATTACACACACATTAATAACAATGTTATGCCAAAGAAGCTCACCAACCTGTGGGAAGATAATGGGGGTCAGGTTTGGAACCAAAAGACCTTGTCAGGTCCACAGCTGGAAACGGGCATCCCCCAATGTTGCAAGCTGCATGCTGTCAAAGAAGCTCACTGAACCATGGGAACAACACTGGAGAGGCCGGGAACCAGCCAGACCTAACCAGGTCTGTGGCTGGAAGTCAGGGTATCTCCTGATGTTGTAAGCTGTAAGCTGTATTCAAGTTTTCAAAAATGCTAGAGTGATGACAACTCATCAACAGAAGAATTTTGTATTGTCAACTGAGGCAAGCTCCAATCTCTCACTCCAAAACAATCCAACCCTGAAAAACAGTCCTGAAACAGCAATCTCTTGAAAGAGCAATCCAACAGCAAAATCTTATGTCACCTGAGGTCTGTCTTATATATCTCTTTAGATGCACCCCAGAGCCAAGTTTTTGTTCCTGCCTCCCCTGTCAAGGAATGGCCAGTTCCGGGAGGGTTTGACAGTTAATGACAAGAATGTTGCCTATCTGGTTGATGAAAAAAATACCCACTGTTCTTGCCTGGGTCCATTGGCCCAAGGCCTTCCAAAGCTTGGCAACGTGCCTGTTACGTTATTCTGATATAACTTAGCCACTTCACTTCATCTGCTGATGTGGACAAAACAGACAGAAAGCAACATTATTTCATCTCTCCCCTGCTGGAAATGAGATGAAGGGGGGAATTCGCTCAACCCCCAACCAAGAATTCTCTTAACCCTAAGCTAACCATCACCCCACATGCAGCTTCTCATGTGATGGAACAAAAAGCCAACAGACAAAAGTTAACATTAGCCAATGAAGGCAAATTTTCTTAACATCTTTCCCACATAATCTCACTCCATTCTTGCCTGCAAAGTTTCTGCTGAGAAGCTCCCTTGTATGTGAGGAGCTGCTTTGCTCTTGCTGCTTTCAAGATTATCTCTTTGTCTTTGACTTTCAACATTGGGTTATAATGTCTCTTGGTGTGTGGAACTATTTGGCTTTATCATAGTTGGAGTTTGTTGAGCTTTAATTGGTGTGTTCATTTATATCCTCAAATTTGAGAAGTTTGGATTATTATGTCTTCAGATAAATTCCCTGCTCCTTTCTCTCTTTTCCTTCTGATACTCCCATAATGCATATATTGATCCATTTGATGGTATCACATAAGTCCATTAGGCTCTGTTCGCTCGTTTTCATTTATTTTCTGTTCCTCTGACTCAGTGATTTCAAATGACCTGTCTTTGAGTTCACTGACACTTACTTCTGCTTCATCAAATCTGCTGTTGAATACTTCTCGAAAAATTTTCAGTTCAGTTATTGCATTTTTCAGCTTTAGTATTTCTGTTTAGCTATTTTTTTTATAGTTTCAATCCCTGTTGATATTCCCATTTGTTTAATGCATTGTTTTCTTGATTTCCTTTACATGTCTATCTGTATTCCCTTCATTTATTGAGCATCTTATAACAGTTATTTTACATAGTTCTTATCAGAGAGTTTACAGAACTGTTTCTTTAGGAGCCTTATTTTGGAAACATTAATTGAGCCATGTTTCTCTGTTTCTTTGTATGCCTTGTGATCATTTGTTTAGTTTTGAGCACTTGATAAACTGCCACCTTTCCCAGTTTTCAAGCAGGGAGAAAACTTAATCAATCAGCATGACTAGAGGTTCTGCAACTTTTCAGAACTTTTCTGAGCATGCACCTTCTTTGGGGTTGTACATGTGTTTTTATTCTAGTACATACAGGTGTTTGGGGCTATTTTAATTTTCTTTTTCTTCTCATGAGCTTTTGGTTTTGGTTTGTATTGTATTCTCTGCCCTTAATCTCTTCTCCCCCTGGCACCTTCCTGTGGAACTTCAGATACTGCTGCTCCATTGTGCCAGAGTGCTTGCACAGAGTTTTCAGTGGCCTCCAACCTCATTTCTTTTTTTCAATTTTTTAAAATTGTATTGTTAGTTTCAGGTGTACAGAACAATGCAATAGTTATCCTTTTCACCCCTCACAAAGTAACAAACCCCAATATCATGCTTATCTATTACAATTCCATTGACTCCATTCCCACTCTCTACTCC